ACATTTTCTGTCCCCATATCTTGAATTTTGTGATCATTCTAAATGAATTTTAATAGACTGAATCATGCAGTGAAAGAATGCACTCTCTATGCGCATGTGCACTAATCTAACCTAATAGAATAAATTATATTCTGTAATAGGAGTAGTCCAATGAATCGTTTGGTTTGTAATGCGTAACGAACAGAAAGCCTCGTACCAAACGGTTCAATACGAATACGTGTATCGTTTCACCCCAGTATATATTTCTGAAGAAGTGCTTCAGGAATTGAAAGTCCTGACCTTTTCTCCTGAGTCTTTGAGCATCTGTTTTTGTCTGAGTTTCCTCTGTTTCTCAAGCTGTTTCTGGAGCTCCTGCTCAGCTTCGTCCTCTTCTAATGCAGTAGGCTCTGGAGGGGTGAAGTCATCTGAGATAGACAAGGAGAAAGAGTGTAGGTGCAGAGAGAATAGTGATGCAATTCATTTGAATTTCAAAGGAAGAGCAGATGCCATTAGAAAAAGAAAAAACAGGTTTTAACTTTAGACATGAAAATGTTCTCTCTTACCATCATCACTAATGTCCATGTCGGCCATTCTAATGTCATCTGACTGCTGGAGGACATCACTGGCCTTGCTGCTGGTTTCCATAGCAACACCTCCATGCTCCACCCCCTCCTTCTCATCTGCTTGCTTTCTACCTCGGCCTCGAGACCTAAGTGCCAGAACCAGTTTTGGGTTGAAATAACTGTGGTGTCACAGGAGTATTAAACAGCAAACGAGTGAAGACTACCTGGAACCGAAATCTGAGCTTCGCGTGTCATCAACCAAGAGGTCATCAACCTGGAGTATTTTCTCTTTCTTTCTGATTTTCTTGACTTTGCATTTGGTCTTCTTAAAGCCCACCTGATGTCACACGTGGCAAAAAAATGAACATCAGTCAAGAATGAAATTAAATTCAAAACCCAGTGCACTTAAACAGATTGTTCTCACCATCTCCTGTGGCGTGTAGTATTCACTGGCGAGGGTGAGAACAGGCATGTCCAGAGACTGGGCCTGATTGCGTAGGTTCTCTCTGATGGCCTGCAGCTCCCGCTCTCTCTCACCCCCCACAAAACCTCCAGCACTGAGCCTGAAACTCTTCTTCTTCTCCCCCTCGATCTCCTCATCGTACTTTGACAGCACAGCCTTTGGCTTGAACTGGAAAGAATTCAAAGAAAACATATCAATGCTACATTTAATGAAGAGGAAATCATAGAAAATCTAATCATAGTAGACTAATCTTAATTGATTATTGACAAGTATCAGTGGTATTTTTGGCCATGTGAGACTTTAAATAGGTTTTAATGCATTTGGAGAATTTGGAATTTCAGATGCAGTCTTACAACGACCATGTCATCCACACTCTCCTCTTCTTCATAAGGTTTATAATCTGGCTTCTTCTTCTTTAGCTCCACATTTTTCTCCGCTTTCTCCTTGTCCACCAGACCCACATTCACCAGCACGTCCTCCTCCTCCACCAGAACGCCTGTGAAAATCACCCACACAGGGAAACTTTGAGTGTGCCCACGAGAGTGTGTGTAGGTGGTGTCAGTGATTTAGCGGATGCTTTTTCATCTAAAGCAACAGTACATTTATCCACATTCAGCATGGTCATGTTAGCTCACCTTTGTCTTCTATAGTTAAGATAACTGTTTCCCCCTCTCTGAAAGACTCCATCTTGTGTTGAACCTTGAGCCCTTTGAGATCACGTGAGCTATATGCGTCCTGGTCAGTAAAAACAGACTAATCAAATAAACATATAAACAGATATGCAGTACTATGATAATAGGTAATACATTACCAAGAAATACATGCAGCTAAAAAAAGTAACCTTTCTACCAACAACTGTTACATGATGAAAGCTATTTTAATCAGTTTTTCTGCTGATTAAAGCAGTGCTCCCAATAGAGGGTCTCAGTCAACTTTGAAGGGGGCCTAAAGATGACTTTAAATAAGACTAAATAAAAATTTAAATGAGTTAAACCAGCTTAAAACTGAGATATTTCTTATTTTAATTCACCCCCTCAACAAGTCATTTCTAACAAGTGGAAATAAACGAGAACGTATAATTTTAAAAGTGTGATTTCTAGACATGGAAAAGTCATGCACATTAATAAAATCTTAATTTTTATAATGCATAAAATGTTGTAGGCATGCCAACCTCTAAAATATGTTATTGGTTAGAAATTGCTATTTGTGAGTAAAAAAAAAAAAAAAGTATTAATTTATTAAAATGTATGGAACTTAAATTTAATTATCTATAACTATTTGTTATTATGTATAATTTTTAGATCTTTTAATATAATTATTTTAATATATTGCCACAAATGAGCAACTTTGGCATTACAGCAGAAGTACCAGAAATATTTTAGGGGGGCACTGAATATTGTCTTGGGGTGGAGGGGGGGGGGGTGACTGTGGAACAGCAAGAAAGCATCAATAAGATCACACACCCTCCTTTCCTGTGCAAACTCCTGCTCGACCAGATTGCTCACACCAAACTCTTCATCCATCTCCTCTAGGAGCTTGGCCTGTTGAGAAAGGAATTGCACAGAAAACAAAATAAAAATACTAATAAAGGCCAAGCCAAACATAAAGCTAGTCATTTGATTGTCTCTACAACTGTCTATTCCTATATCCGCACCCTCTTCTCTGCCATCTCCTTCTCCTTGGCAAGTTTGCGACTCCTCTCCACCCAGGCAGCTGTGTCGTCCAGCCATGGTTCTTCATCTCCAAGCACCTTCACCTTCCTGAAAACACAAAAAAGGTAGATAGGCTGACATTAGTAAAATTTTGTTTGACTAACATATAATTACAATAGTAGACGTTTTGTTTTGTGATCTTTTGCAGGTAGCAAAAATGGCCTACCCCAGTTTCTGATTGAGCAGACGCTTCTCTTTGAGAGCAGCCAGTTTCTCTCTCATCTCAGCTTGTTGTTTGATGTGAACAGGATTGATGGCCTCGGCCACGAGGGGCTCCTCCTTCGTTCCAGCCTCTGAGGGACCATCAAATAATAACAGATTTAGAAAAAAGCTTAAAATAAGATGTTGCATTTAAAGTAATTAAACTTGTACACTCACATTAAAAAGTATGTGGTCAGTATATTTTTAAGTCTCTTATGCTCACCAAGGCTGCATTTATTTAATCAAATATAATAAATATAGTACAATAAAGCAAATATACAGTAAAAACAGTAATATTGTGAACTATTCCAATTCAAAATAACTGTCTTCGGTTACACTTTATTTTAAAGCATCTTTGTTACAGTGCAATTATACATTTAAGTACTGAGTAACATTAATTAATTACACATACTTACTATATGGTTAGGGTTTGGCCTAGGGTTACTTGCATGTAATTATGCATAATTAATTGTT